AGAGAGAGAGAGAGAGAGAGAGAGAGAGAGAGAGAGAGAGAGAGAGAGAGAGAGAGAGAGAGAGAGATAGAAAAGACCAACAAGTTTAAATGTTCGTCTCATTTTAAGAATATAATAAAATATACACACAGCACGTAATATGCATATGGCGAAACATGCACACAGCGAAATGTGCCCACAGTGAACAGATTATATATTATTATATATTATACTATGCTAAAACAGGCATACACACAAAATTATTGCAGACAGACCTGATTCGAGTATTGGCATACAGCAGATAGGCGGCTGTGTTTCCCCTGTCGTCCAACATCTGCAATAGAGACAAAGGTGTGTTAGCTCATACAGCTGATATTTGTTCTAGCAAGAGCTTTACAGCACCTGCAACACACTTGGGTCGTATAAGTGCTGAAGATTTGAGGTGTTACAAGATAGTAACAAACACAAAGAAAGAAAGGAGGAGAGATAATAAGAACCATAGATGTTTGATAGCGATCAGGGATAAGAATTAAGAACTTAGAAGGAGCAAACAGAGAGCACCCGCCCACCACCCTGGGTGAGAACAAGTTTCTCTCTCTCTCTCTCTCTCTCTCTCCCCCTCTCCCTCTCTCTCTCTCTTCCTCACTCTTTCTCTCTATTAATAGCCTTACAGCGTAAAAAGGGAGGTTACCTATACTATTTTGCATATTTTTCCCCTCATCTCAGGAACCTTACACTGGTGTTGAAAAGAGCGTAAAACATGGGACAACAAAACATATCCTCTAACCCCTTCCTTTTTGCTGAGACTAATGTAGATCTACGTTTGAACAGACAAGATAGAATGTTCATTTCAAGAAAGATTTAAGCAAAACCACAGGACCTTTCCTCTTATTTTATAAATAAAAAGCTGCCTAAGTGAAGTGATAGTTGCATCTTCTCAACCTTTCGTTGCAGGTTTTAGTATGCATTATACGGCACTTGCAAAATAACTAGGTAATATATAAGTGCCAAGAGTTACAAGAGAGTAACCGAAAAAAAAACCCATAAAAAAAGAGGAGAGATAAGGAAGATAGATGATTGATGGGAAAGGAGGAGCAAACCCCACCAGAGCACACAACAATCACCCTCAAAATTTTTTTTAGGAGAACACAAACAAATAAGACTACAATGTATGTATATCTACAGAGCCGTGAAGAGGATAACTTTGAGAGGGACTTTCCATTCTAAACAGCAGCGTGAATGACTGGTTGGGTTCAGTAATTGCCAACCTAATTGAATGATTGATCCGATTCAATAATTGCTGTAAACCTCATTGAATGATTGACCCGATTCAATAATTGCGGTAAACCTAATTGAACAATTGACCCTATTCAATAATTGCTGTAAACCTGATTGAACGACTGACCTTCTTTAATAACTGCAAACCTGATAAAATGACAGATCCTCTTCAATAATTGCAAACTTGATAAATGGCTGACCGGGTTCAATCATTGCAACATATTTTTGCCGGTGGCGGCACAACAAAACACAAACAGTTACGAGGAGAGAAGCGCACCTTGTCGTAGGAGAAGATGTAGTCGTGGGTGCGGTTGTGGGACAGGTCGGCGTACTTGATACATCCATAGGCCACCGACTCCTTCACTTTCTCCAGCTCCTCTGGACTCAGGTCCTGGGAGGGAAAAAAACAATAAGAATTGAAATAACATATACGTATACACAGTGTGTATTTTACATACGATAAGATAAATGATATGAGATAAATTTGTGCAAACGCTCTCTCTCTCTCTCTCTCAAACACACACACACACACACACACACACACACACACACACACACACACACACA